ATAAAATGTGGGAACATTAAGAGTAAAAAAAAAAAAATTGAATTTAGTTCTGAAAACTGTTGAATATATGCTCACACTACAGGGAAAAAAGAAATCAGATTCACCCAGCTGGCAAGTATCTTCCTGTGGGATAACTAGACTGTTCTTTAATGTAACTGTGGAAGTGCGAGCTCTCAACTTCTTTGCAATTATGGTGCAGAATTTCAGCACTGCATCCACTTGTAAGAACATCCTTTAGCTACAGAATATGTGAGGTTTCCAATATAATATCCTGAATATTATTTCTTTTCTGTCAATCTGTTTCACTAACTGCCTGTAAAGAAAGCATGGATAACATTGTGAAGTCTGCAAGAGTTCTCTTTCTCCTATTTCTTAGATGCCGTAGGAAATCTTTAGCTGAAATGTAAGGCAGAAAGAACAATATCTGTCCTAACATTTTTCTTATATATTCTGCTAAAGTTCCAGGACTAAGCTCAGGCCAAATCTAGTAAAAAAAAAAAAAAAAAAAAAAAAAAGTATATATTTTATATATATATATAAATCAGTCATTAGAATAATTGCATGAAAAATCTTATATAAGTGGTCACTTATCACTGCTTCTAGGGTCTTCCATCTACCAAGGATACTATGAGGTCAGAACACCAAGCAAAGGCTTCTGTAATGAGAGCTATAACCTCCCTCAGACAGTTATGCCAGTTCAGCCATTGTTTAAAATTATTCTTTTTATTTCTTACTTTTGTCCCCAATTCAAAAAGAATTGTGTTCGCCCGACCCAGACTATGGCAGAGTGAATTGTTGTTCTGCAACCAGAGATTGAGCCAGAAAGAGAGTCCTAAACAGAATTTCTCCAGTATTATTTCAGCACCTCAGACACCATAAATCTGCTGTGATCTCTTATTTCCTCAATAGCGTCTTTAATCACATATGAAAGAGTGCATCATGGGCTTTTTTAAATAAAAACACCTTTACTCTAAAGGGAAATAAATAGAGATGCTGTCAAAATACTAATAAAAAAACATGCTTAATGTTTTTCAAATAACTGATTTCTTTCTTCTCTTTCTCTGTTTTTGCTTTAAAAAGCAGGCCATGATCTCCAAACTTTTTTGACTTCTTGATCTTGCAATATCAGGGTCTTGTTACCACTTGAGTTGCTGGACCTAGTTACACTATTGTCACCATTAGACACTACTTGAAATCTTTATTCATTAAGCATCAGCACTTAAGGCTTAAAAGTATGCAAATTAGGATCATATCAAATTAACTCACTTTGCATTCATACATTTAAAATTATACAAAGCACAAGGGAAAGCAGAATCAGTCTCACGACCTCTGTTGATTACCAGGAATAAAGCATTAGAGAAATTTTGAACAGTCTGAGTGCAGAAATATTCACTGTTTTGCAAGAAAGCAGAAGTTAATCCAAGATACTTTATCCAAGTTTATCAAATGTTAGCAGATATGATTGACATGTGAAAAACATTTCCCATTTAGTCTAGTTAAGAATCTCCATCACAAGCATAATGCCATATGGCATCACTTCCATTTATTTTTACTATTTCTTTTAAATGGAAATTTTGAAAAAAATAATATATTCTATATCTCTATCTATATTCTGTTGTCAACTTTCACTGAAGTGTGAGCTGCAGATTCCTCAATGACATACTTACCTACTCAAGTTGGTGCAGGAATGTCTCTGGGTCCAGCAGCAACAGGTCAGAGTAGATAAATGCTAGCAACTTTCAATGCCTTGGTAGTACAATTTAAATTATAAACCAGGCTTCAGTTTTGATTGACACAAAAACCTAATATCTACTTTAGTTCATTGTGTCAATTTACCAAGCAAGTTCAAGATTCATGTTGAATATTATGTGTCCATGAAGTTGCACCCTTTAAAGGCAGACCCTTCACAGCTTTAGCCTAGCCAACCAATATTTGAAACTAAAAGCATGAACTACAAGGCACTAGACACCATGCAATTCATACACACACACACACACTCACACACACACACACACACAAAGTCTATTAAATTAATTTCTTGATTAACTGTTATAAACAGAAGAAATGGATTTTGCAGTAAGTTGTTCATTTGTCTGGGGGACTGTAGGTAAATTAATGCTTTTAGAAAAGTAATGTCTATTGGGAATCAATAACTTATAAATCCTAACAACTGCAATAGGAAAAAAGTTTAATTACTTATAAAATGATCATTCCAGTATGTTGGCCAGACTTCTTAATTCCATCAAAAATAAGATTCCTTAAAAAGCACTTCATATACCAGGACCTCAACTATTTCTGTACATTAATCTTATAGAATAAGATCCATATGCAGTGAAATTATAAGACCAACACTTAGCTTGCCCAACACTTTCACGGGAAAAAAACACTTTAAAGACAAACATAAATGTCCTAATTTTACAGGTTAGAAAACAAAGAAGAAAAAATTATATAACTAGTTTCAGCAGCAAGTTAAAGTATTGGTTGCATGAAAGCAAATTTAAAGTTTATGGTTTAATCACAGCAAGATGTCATCCAGGACTTTAAAATATTTGGTACTGACAAAGGTGCTAGTAAAGTGTGATAAACCCCAACTGACAACAGTTTCACAATAATTATTTAATAAATAAATATCTTCTCTAGACTCTGGTTTTAATAACATATTTAATTTTCAGTGTAGATTGAAGCTGCAACATTTTATCTTCACCGCTGATACACTTCATTCTCTTCAGATCAGTGGTTATAAAGATCATGCTTCTACACATCTATTAGGAGCTGAATAGGGTTGTTCTAAGAAATCTCAGTTATTTAAAAGGAAAAGGATTAATTTCAAATTAATTCAAAATTATTATCTCCCTCTGCAGTAGATTTAAATGGACATACTTGAAGTATGCAGGGTTTGCTGTTGATTAAGGTTTCATTTTTAGTGTGCTCAAACCAAGACAGAAATCCCATATACTGAGAATACTGATCCCCAGAGTATCATTTAAAAAATCATACCTCTGATACCCGATCCACTTTTGTGTGGTTTACAGTGTGCTGAAATCTGTAAGGCAATTGCCTAATAGAGGTATTGGACTGAAGATTAACATCCCACAGGAAGGTGACAGCTTTGTTTCTTGCATCATTTCAGATTAACTCTAGCAGAAACAGCCAGGAACAAATAGCTGAGATCAGAAATGCCTTGTCCACAAAAAGGACTAAATGAGTTTACAGATCTCTAGTCCATCTAACTTTTAGGATTATACAGAAAATGAACCCACTCTGAATAAGAGTTTAGCAATCCATTAGATCCTGGCTGTGAAATACAAGAAAATGTTGAATGGCATCTATTTTCACACTGGAGAATAGCAAAAAGGAACAGAATCTTTCCACATTCAGAAAAAGAAATCAATAAAACAATAAGAGAAACTACTTCTCCTTTGAAGGCTATTCTGTCATATAGAATCATAGAATCAGATGGGTTGGAAAGGACCTCTGAGATCATCAAGTCCAACCCTTGATCCACTACCACCACAGTTACTAGACCATGGCACTGAGTACCACACCAAGTCTCTTCTTAAATACCTCCAGGAACAGAGGATCCACCACCACCCTGGGCAGCCCATTCCAATGCCTGATTACCCTCTCTGTAAAGAATTTCTTCCTAATATCCAACCTAAACCTCCCCTGGTAGAGCTTGAGACCATGCCCTTTGTCTTACTGCTGGTTGCCTGGGAGAAGAGACAGATGCCCACCTGGTTACAACCTCCTTTCAGGGAGTTGCAGAGAGTGATGAGGTCACCCCTGAGCCTCCTCCAGACTAAACAAACCCAGCTCCCTCAGCCTCTCCTCACAGGACTTGTGTTCAAGTCCCTTCACCAGCCTTGTTGCTCTTCTCTGGACCTGCTGCAGCACCTCAATGTCTTTCCTGAACTGAGGGGCCCAGAACTGGACACAGCACTCCAGGTGTGGCCTCCCCAGTGCTGAGTACAGGGGAAGGATCACTTCCCTGCTCCTGCTGACCACACTGTTCCTGATCCAGGCCAGGATGCCATTGGCCTTCTTGGCCACCTGGGCACACTGCTGGCTCATGTTCAGCTTCCCGTTAATGTACATGATGATCTTCTGAAGATTCCCTCTCACCAGGGATACTCAGTAATTTGTGTCACAGTTGTCAGTTGAGCAATGCTAAATAAGCATGCACAGAAAATTTCTAGAAAAGAGTTCTATCTCCTCTTAATCACAGAACTGAAAGGGAAACCAAATTGGAGGAGTGGTCAGGTAATTACAGAGCCTTTGAAAAGTAGACAGCTACACAGAAAGTACGTGAGCATAGGTGGATCTTTTTCTCTCATTCTTCCTTTTTCCATCTTTTAAAAAGTCTCCTTTTAAAGAAAGAGCCTCTTTTTCTACATTTAAGCTTCCCTACTTCAGTCCCTTTTGTTGCCACACCATTCCTAAATGGTTTTTTCCTTCTGAAAAAGAAAGCACAGGAGAACTTTAGGTAAAAAACAATCCTAGTTTCAGACAAAGAATGCTCTCACTATATAACATGATCAAAATATGGTACCCTCCATCGGGAGTTACAAGGTTCATCCGTGTAATTTCACGGGTAGTTGCAATTTCACCCTCTGAAGAGTTCCTACAGCTTGTTGGAATGCTATGAGAGCCTCGTCCCACTGGAAATATCACCACTGCAATGACCTGCAGTCTGCCATGTAATCCATGGCTGTTGTGAGTTCTGTCTGCCTTCTCCGCCTCTGCTTCTTGATTCCCACTTCTCTTAAAATGATCTTTTGTCAAAGTACAATATTTTTTCTGTTGTGCTAGTGCTTTTCGCCATATTACTCCATTTCAGCATCCTATGTAAGTGAAAAGAAAAATTGCAATACCAGACACTCCCTGAATTGGCATGGATTTCTGTCTTGAATCTATCTGAAATTTAAAAAACAATGAGAGATTTGATTACCTGGCTGAATAATTCCTATTCCCTTTTTCAAAATTCCATCTGCGTTAGTTACAATGAAGCAAATTTAGAGATCATCATCTTCAAAGTGCTCTTGATGAAGGATGAGGACTTGTCACCCTGGAAGCATTTTCAAAATAAAGTCTCCCATTGTATTTGTCTTTTCTATGAATGCCATAGGTTGGATGTAAGACAGCTGCATTTTCTTTATGAGTTACATTAATTTTCATCCAGGATGTCTGGATTATCACACCTTTTTTGGAGGGTATATACACTGCAGTTTCACCTTCTCAGTAAGCTTTACAGGTAAATCCACAAACTATGCTTCCACATAAGCTAAAGCACATGAAGAAGTTCAGTTTCAGATTAACATAATTAGAAATTTAATTTATAGAGAAATGCAGAGGCAATTTTGGCAGCACTACAAGCAATACACTGAAGAAAAAGTTTGCTAAAAAAAAACCCAAAACCTTACAAATTATTATTACTTCTGAGCTGTAAATATCATTGAACAGCTAAAATGTGTTTGAGCCCCACAGTAACACACTTGTGAATTGCAATCATATCTGTCATGATATGACAAAAAAAGGAAAGATGTTAGCTAGGCTTAAGAAAGTAACCTTGCTTCCACAAAGCTTCAGGCCAACAATAAAAAGAACTGTGTGATCCATCTCAAGGAACACTGGAATCAATGACTACATTGTGACATGGTTTTATTCAATCTCTGCACACCAAGTGCCTCTCTCACAGGATGTTTATACTTTTGAAACATGTAAAACACTATGTGCTTTTTACTCTTACATTCTAAGAAGCACCAGGTTTGAGGCCTCAGTGCAGATGCATCAGAGATTGTCTAAGTTCCTACCAAAATCCATCTTAGAATGAAGTTTTCATTACAAATAAATCTACAGCAATACACATAAATATTATGATGAAGCAGGACCTTTAGGTTTCATCACCAGAATTCTTTCATTTGATTTATCCAAAATGAAAAGAATTTTTCAGACATTGAAGTTCACCATTTATCTACTATTCAGGAAGCACAAAATCTAAAGAGACTTCCTATATATTACAGGTCATAATTTTGTGAGTAGCTATAAAAAGTAATGTCTTAAGGTCTGAAAACATATTTGTGATAACATGTCATGAGGTATTATTTTGGGATCAAAATTATGCAGCTTGAAAAATCTTGTTCAAAGGTGTAAGAATCCTGAGTATTCATGACTCATGTTGAAATTTGTCAAAACAAGTCTCACTCTTGCATTTTTGTGGATTTTTCTTGGGACAACTGCAAGCATGTTTGCACCTTAGGAGACTATAGCTTTATGGAGCTGCTTAAAATTGGAACAGTGTAACTGATCTGAAGTCAAAACTAAGCTTGAATCAATTCATTAAAATTCTCAAATGAATAAACAAATGTAATTTGAACAGAAGCTGACAGCAGAAATTAGTACTTCAGGTGAGTAATAGCCTGCACAAGCTTGAGCAGGACTCAGCATTAGATCTGCTTAAAATACCTTCCACAATGCAACAATCTGTCTGGAAATAAAAATCTGTATATATGTGTCTCTATAGCACTCAGTATGTCTTAGGATAATACAAACGAGTTTTTTTCCAATTTGATTGATTCTCTGATTTTCATTATTTCCAATGACTCCATTTTGCCACTTCCCAGAAAGATCTGTAATTCCCCATTGTTGCAGTTACACTTACTTCTACTCTGCCTTGTCAACAAAGAGAATCCACCAAATGATGAAGAAATAAAAAATTTGTGCTCTATACCATTTCTTAACTCAAAAAGATGTGCTACCTGAGTGCACTTACTTTTAGAAATCAATAAAATGTAATATATAAGTATATTAACAATGTCTCTTCTTTTTAAAATTTAGAAAAAATAAAATTATAAAGGTTACTTTTCAAAGTCTCTTAAGTTGACATGATTCTTGTGTTCCTATTATCTACAAAAATTTTACAAAAATTTAAGTATTTTATTAATCTTTTTCTTATGGAGGGAAATTCCCTGGAAAAAAGATCTGAGTTTCAGTGTGAAAAGGCAATAAACCTTGACTTTTTTCTCATTTTTTCGTTCCTTGTGATTTTTTTGCTTTAACAAGTGACTTCCTATTTTTTCCTGTGTGGGAAATCACATTCACCGCTGTAGGTAAGTGCAGTTGTTGTTGATAATGTATTGCCCTAAACATGATTGTTTTTCTTTTATGAGGAAGCTGTATACTTTGAATTAATAGAATCATAGACTCACAGAATTATAGAATTGTCTGGGCTGGAAGGGATCATAAAGATCATCTAATTCCAATCCCCCTTCCATGGGCAGGGACACTTTTCACTAGACCAGATTGCTCAGGGCCCCCATCCAACCCTGCCTTGGTCACTTACACAGATGGGGCATCCACAACTTTTTGGGTAAACTTGTGCCTCACCACCCTCACAGATTCACCAGATACGTTACTGATCAAAAAGATCCTTAGAAAAATAGAAAAATACTATATGCAAAATCTTTTCTTCAAAGACTGAGCTTAGTTTTCCAAATTATATTTAACAAAACTGACTCTTCATTAAAATTTCTATTGACTTTGTCTCTTCATTTGTGCATTATTTTTATTATTACTTCAATGTTCTGAGAATTTCCTCAAATACTGGAACTTCACAGCAGTGCAAGCTTTGAGGATTAATAAATTCTTAATACACGACTGGTTTCTTTTAAGGTGTCTCATGATTTCTAAGAGTATTACTTACTTACATTTTAATTGAGCAATGGAAATTGTCCCAGACAATCCAAAATCTGGATTCACAAGGTACACCTAGATATTCAGTAGTCCATCTGATGCTCAGTATACATATCTAAATAGAAGAGAAATGAGCTGGAGACTGAGCCAGGTTCTGTTTGCATGACAAAGCTATCTTTTCAAACAGATCAAAACATTAACTTATATTTAGCTTGTCTCAGGAAACACAGAAGTATTACTGATAAGAAAAGCAGGAAATGGGAAGCTTCAGATACTATACTACCCATTTTGTATTGAAAAAGAAAGGATTTAAGAGTCAAATGTGTCAGGCTCCTAGATGCTATGTGGCATTGCAGCCTTTAAACCTGTTACACTGGAACTATATGGATCCCGTATTTAAAACTTTAACCTCCTCAGCTAGCAGTTCTCAAACTGCAGTTGCTAGAAAAGGTAAAAAAAAAAAAATTACCTCTGTAACTTGAAATATTATTCTTTATGCAATAATACATATGCATATAGTAGTTTAAAGACAAGTGGTATTCCACAAAATCTGAAGTAGAATGAAAAATATAAACATATGTTAATTTTTTTACCATTATTATGACAAATTAAATTTTTGGACACATTTGTCTTGTTTAACTGAAGCTAAGATAAAGTATTCAGGAAGTCTCCAAAACAAAGACATATTCCCTTAAATGAAAATTATTTTTCACTTATCTGTCTATGTATATAAATTGCAACTTTATTGCTCTGAATTTCATGCTCCATTCCATTTCTCTCCATCTGGCATGTAAAGTAAAACAGAAGTTAAGAAATAAATTTCTAACCCCACATGATGACTAAGTATTGACAATATGTTAATGTCTAAGGACATTTATTTGCTCTACAACAGACGCAGTTACTACAAACATCAGGAATTCTTGGCCAGACAGTAGCAAGAACAGTGTCCCTCATCATGCCTGCTAAAAAAAATCCCTGTAACCAGAGCACTACTGGGTGTCCCTCTAAAGGCTGCAATTTAAGTCTCCTCTAGATGCCAGTAAAAGTCCCCTATAGAGACTTATCAACACACCCACAAGCCATAAATCTGAAAACTGTAGGCACTTAGAAAGTTCACTGGTATAATTTGGGGACTGGCACATGAAACATCATATTTTTACAGAAGATGCAACCTATAAAAACATAAACACACACCAAAAGATAAATATACTTCCACTTTGCCCACCTGGGCAGTGAATTTGTCATAGCAGGTATTGTAAGGGAAAACCTATTGTGCAGCCCACTCACTTCTAGCTGTTCCTCATTCCTCCCTCACCTCTTTTCTCCCTACCCTCCCTGCACTGAAAGGCTGGAAAACCCTTGTGTCTCTGATCATCTGTGGATACAAGACTCACAATAGCATCAGTAGCACATTTCACAGTCACTCCATCACTTGAGCAGTTCCTTGCTCTCTGCCTCTCTGTTTTTCTGCCCACCCTTTCCTGCAGTATGTCTCTTCTTTCCCAATTATCCCACTTTCTGGCTATCCTTTGAACCCCAAAGCAAAGGGAATGCTCACAAACAAGCCATATTTAACTAATAGTTGGCTAAATGCCAATTACAGTTTGACAACAAAAGTAGCACAGTGGAATTTTCCAGCTGAATTTACAACTGTAGGATGTGGTTTAAAAGGAAAAAAAAAAAAAAAAAAGAAAGAGAAAGAGTAAAAAAGACTGTGCAGCAAACACAATGCAAATCTACAGCTTGGATTTTAATCATGACTTGAACATACATCTTCAGAGACCCTGGGTGAGTCATTTCATTTCCTGGTGCATTAATTTCCCAAATTCCAATACGTAGATAATACATAATGAATACTTCTGTTTCAAAGCATGTCACAATAATCTCTGTAATGAGTTTTTTTAATAGAAATTGCTACAAAACTGTGAAGAATAAGACACACATATAGGGCCAGCAAGTATGTTAATACCCTTTTTAATGATTAATTAGTATTTAAGATTTAACAGATAGGCCTGTAGCAATAAGGCAGAAAGAGTGGCAAATATACTTGCAGAGAGCTGTTACCACCAAAAACAAGGCCTTGAGTGTGGCAGTGAAGTGAAGCAGGAGACAGTTAAAAAGGAGACCACTCCGGGTACCACTTCTTTACCTGCAAACATGACCAACCGGAAAATGACCAGGGCAAAAAGGTTCTTTAGTTTCAGTGACTTCTCAGTGAACATAACAAAGTGAGTGGGCTGGAAGGAGGGAGGTTTTAGCAATTTCACACCTGCTGTGAGCATCCCTGCAGATTAGCTCTAACCTTGTAGAAGCCAGGTTAACCAACCCAAACAAAAGTTTAGTGACAAGTGATGTAACTCCTTCTTTCTCCATGGATGAGGGTCTACCATCAAGAAAAATACCTCTTTTTCTCTTTTTCCACTCACCATTCTATGTTTCTTTAAGAAGGATGGCTGAGTGGTACAGCCAGATAAAGACACAATAATTCCGATTTGCCTTTTCCTATTCTGCATCTAATTTAATTGAATCAATAAAGCACCCCAAACTGGATTAATCTATAGGCATGTCTGATTCAGTAACATAATGGATAAGATTCGTCAGTATGTTTCTTTAATCTCAGAGGAGAATTTAAATGTATATCATATTTTACTACAGAGAGAAATAAAAAAATTGTAAATTAAATACAATCACATATTAGGGATATATAGATTAAGATGATTCAGAGAAGAAAACAAATTGAATCTAAAAGGCTTTCCCAAATGTAGTGAAGAAAAGAAAATATAACCCACATACTCAAATTCTTGATAATTTTTTATTCTTAAACATACTGGTCTCCAAGATTTTGAATTATATAAATTATAGTTCGATTATCAAATGTTTCAACTGAAAGAAATCAATTTTTGCAAGTGTCATAGTTCTGATTTTAG